TCTCTGTAATATAAGATGTCTTAAATCGTGCGACGTGTATTAGCTAGATATGAGATAATGAGAAATAGTCCAAGTTTCTTTAATCAGTAAGGACCATATTCTATGAAGATTGAAAGTGTAGAATTCCTCGCATTGATCTATCTTTCTCATTTTTATAGATACACTTTGAATAAAAAATCTTTGACAAGCACGGATGTGTCTAGAAATATTCCAAATCGAGTTGGAAACCACTATTGGATCGTCAAAATCCAACCTCAGAATCGCTCAAAATCTAGCGAAAAAATCTCGACGTTCGGATCAGAGTTGCACTTAGGCCGATAAAACACTAGATTGTTACTCGGCGACTTCTAGTTAGTCAGGTTCCCAGCTCGATTGGTTTGTACTGTGACATGTTGCCACGTGACACTGACAGTGCTGACGTGGGCAAGTGACAATGATTGGATTTGACTGCTGACGGCCGTGGCAAGTAAGTGACGATTCCAATCCCACTGAATGATAGCTGCGCAAAGGGACGCGCAGACACGTGGCGGATGAACATCACCCAGACTGCGGACAGGGGTGATCACACCATATCAACGGGGCACGACCTGTACTAGACTTCATGCGCCGATCTTTAGGTGGTGCGTGAGGTACGTTAAGGGTGGCGTGTAAGGGTCTTCTCGTCTTTTACTTTGGCAAGTTTTTGACTCCTCTCAATGGAACATTCCTCTAGTGTGCTCGGAAACTTGATTTATAACTTCGAAATGTAAACAAAATTCTGAAAACGCACTATTTTCCTTCCACGACTTTGATAACCTACTATATAGAATTCGGGAAACTTGTTTGCAGACAACAAAAGCATATCACAAACAAATAATCAATAAGAGATTACGTGGTTTGGCAATTACTTAGCGGTCCACGGGTAGAGATTTCACTATAGAATTCCCGAGGGAGATTATAGAACTTAACACTCACTTTCCTCTTGAAAGAACTTTCACTCTCAGATTGGCAAACACTCTCTGCTATGCTAATGTTTGTGTTGTCTGAATCTTTCTCTTCTTTCCACTCCCTCGTCTTATATGTGGGCAAGGATGAAGAATGAAATAGCATCATAGTAGAAAGGAGGCTCCCCCATTACACTTTGTTTCCCACCAAGTGTCTCGTCCCACTCATCCTCAACAATGGAAGATGATTGTAAAATGGAGGAAAGTGCTTGGCCAGCCCTTTCCACCCACCTTAGTTGTATGAGTTGGATGAATGTCAACAATAAACTACTTTGCCCGTTATGTCCAAAATTAAGTGGTATATTCCAATTTTTCCTCTCCTAGCATACATTATGTGTAATTTTAACCGTTATTTTTTTTTTTATTGACCTCTTTTGTTTAGCTAACAATGTATTATTGAAGGAATTAATATGTGGTGAAAGTTTAAGGGAAAAATTACAAAAACATATGGAAGTGTAAGTGTGTTCTATGGTGAGGTGTTAAATGAAAGAACTGTGGGGATTATAATATTACTTGCACCCCTCCATATATTGCTAATATTTTTTCTTAAATTTTACCTACATGTATTTTCCGTTTTATTTTAATTCTTCTCCTTGTACCTCTCTTTCTTTATCTAAACATAGCTTTCTTATCCTAACCACACCCCAACCCTTTTGTAACCCTAGCCAATTTCATCAAACCAACAAAGTTCCAAATTAGAAGCTTCCCAAAAATAGAATCCCCTAGCTTTTTGAAGAAATTCATCACTAAAGATTAAATGTTTACTCCAATATAAAAGCCTATTCCAATCAGTTACATGGTTAACAAAATAATGAATTAATTATGACAATAGGTTGTGTTTTATTGAAAATAGATTAAAAGTTATTTTTTAAATTTGTTTTTTTTAGAAAAAACATACAAAAAGTAAAGGGTACATGTTCAAAAAAAAAAAGCATATAAGGTGGGCCTTTATTCTAACCCTTGCAAAACTATATCTTAGAACTAACTTAATCAGGGTGGGCGCAAGCTAGGCCCGGGAGTCAACTCTCTCCCTACGACTTTTGGAAAATTATGCGTTTGCCCTCTTGCGGGAAAGAATTATTTTAATTCTAAAACCTTTTTGTAGGAAAATCTTCGATCCCTCAGTGGGGGTGCTGGGGGTCGCTTGATTTGGTCCCAAAAAATTGTTTTTTTTTTTTTTTCCCAGCCAATGAGAGCTTGAATGGTCATTGGGTGCAGCTGGGGTGCGGAGCATCACCCCGTTTATTAATGTTATAACATTTTTATTCACTATTTTTTAAATATTTTAATAAAAATATTTTAATTTTTTAAGAGTTAATGTTAATTACGTTAATTTTTTATAAGTTATATTAAAAAAATGTTAATTATTATTTTTAACTGGGGGGGATTTTTTTTATTTCAAAGCCTTCTTATATTATGGGGAAATACTTTTCATAATAGCTTTCATATTTGTTTATAATAATTATTACATAATTAATAACACTAAATAATATATTACCATTGTGATTCAAGTGAATTCAAAGCAAAAAAGTGAAAAAAAAAAATATAGCCAGCTCCATATATATTATTATTCCCCATGTTCTTTTTTTCTTTCTCTATCTCCTTTTCTCTCTCTTTAGTATTTTATACTTTCTCATGTGAGCATCACCAATTCTACTTATCACCTAGATCTATGGAGGTTGTATCTACCACTACTGATTGAACTTATCAGTGAATATACACTTTCATCATGCCTAATGTTTATAATGTGGGATGATCTTAAATAAATAAATTTTGAAATAATAATAACTGCCTCAAAACACACGAACTAACCATATTTTCAAAACTTAATGCCAAGAGATTATTCTGGAGCTTGATCTTCAATGAACAAGTTGGTTGACGGAACTTGAACCTAGCTTTGCTTGGGCGTTTGAGCTTGCTGTGTTACCGCCCTATTTGCTTATTGCTCATACTTCCCACAACATTCATTCGTAACCCCACGATTGGGTGTATAAATGGAAATGTAGACAAAACAAGTGATGTGAATAAGAAATAGATAAGTAACCCTTCAGCACTATTGGTAGTACTTTCAGGCCATCTCACGATCCTGGTGGCATAAAATGGTGATGTGGATCGAGTATAGGAAGAACAATAGATCGAATGGATCAGAATGTAATATACTCATATTAGTATTTCTGAACTCATAACCAACCGAGTTATACATTGTAATTATCACGAGTTCTTACGAGTTTTATATAATATACCCTATATTATTAACATATGAAGGGACGTTTATGGCTTGAACGAACGGTCCGATGCTAGCGTGTGTGCCGCCAGGTCGAGGAACTTTAGTCAGTCAGATGTTGAATACGCGCTAGACATAACCGAGCCCAGTTTTGGGGGGGCTCAAAGCCAAAAGAATGCAAAAACTTCTGGACGTTTTGGGCCCTGTATCGGTGGATGACGTGACATTCTGCTGAGTTCAAATGGAATTGTCCTCCAGAAGATCAGGTTTCTCCAAGCAGGAGCATACGGTTGTGACTTTGGAGCCGATGAAGCCCATGTTCGCGGATTCACCGTTATTGAGCGCGCGGTCCCAAGGTAAGGGCGTGGCACCACGTTGTGTATAAAGCTCTGGTGGAACGAACGTGATAGGACCGTGAGAGGAAGTTTTGCCGTTCGCACGCAATCAATATGTCGTTTGGCGGTTTTGTTAATTTTGATGGTTTGGCAGTATTTGCACCTACATGTGGAGGAAGGTAAGGAGGGAACATTCATTCCACGCTTCAGAAGAGAACAGACAGAGAGGTGCGCAGATAAACTATATAAACGGTGCTGGCTCCATTGCAACAGGTTTGGAACATTTAGTTATCAGAGCTACCTATCCCTTTGTCCTCTCTTGTCTTTCTCCTGAAGTGTGCTAACTAATCGTACGAGGGATTTTTTCGGCGCACACCGCCGGGTGCTCGCCATCTTTCTGTTCCGGTTAAGCAATGTGTACTCAAAGCTTGGACATGGGAGATCAGAGAGCGTCAAATATTTCATTCTTCGTACATATATATATTATATATATTGAAATTTTAAATGAATGTAAAGTTATTAATTAACTTTTTGCTTAATAATTTTAAAATAAAGTAATTAAATAATGGAAAGGTTGTGTTTGATTTTAGAAGAGAAGTTTATATATTTTTAAAATTATTTTGATTTTTTTATTGTAGAATTTGGTGTGAAATAATGTTAGTATTTAATTTATTAATTGTATTATATATGAAAAGATTAATGATTTGAGGCTCAAATTTTTTTGGCTCAAATTTGGCGTCGAATTTTTTTTTTTTTTTTGCTGGGTTGAGATGTTTGCTTGTTATTATTATTATTATTTTTATTTATTTTTTTTCTGCAATGTAATTAGCCCAGAAAAAAAAAAAAAAAAATGGCATCGAGGCAATTTTCGAGCCTCATTTTCGAAGGCCTCCAATCACTGCCTGTATAAAAATGGGAAGAATTGTACGCCATATGCATTTTTGTGTATAGCGTGTTAGTGAATGTTATGTAATTTTTTTGGTAGATATTATAAATTGTATGGGTTTATTATATTTTTTATCTAATAAAATGAATAGATTTATGATAGTTTTATGGTGTTATTATAATTTTTTATCTAAACATTTTATTAAAAAGATGGTAATGTTACCATACGAGAGATGCACAACTTTATTTTTAATTCATAAATTACTATAATTTATTAGAAAAAATACATAACATTTATCATAAAAATATATAATATAATCATAAAAAATATGCATATCACCAATACCTAAAAAAATAACTATAAATAATCCGATAAAATTAATTAGGTTACTACTAATTTAAAAAATTTTTAATTAAATACTACTAATTTAACATATGTTCTAGGTGTCGTTTGGCAAACCAGATTGATTTAGTAATTTTTTAGTTATTGACCTAAATTAATGAGCTAAAAACTAGTATGTTGATACTAATTTTACCCTTTTACGAAAAAATGTACAAAATATAGAGAAAAAAAAAATCTTTAACTTTTCAATATGAATTATGACTCTTTTTTAACTTTTTTTTTTTATATAACTTTTTTACTCTTTTTTTTTTGGCTAAATAGGTTGGTCCCAAACGAGGGTAATGATATGGGTTGCTTCTTCTTCTGCTCTGTGAATTTTTTCCACCCTTCAATTCAAACAGCAACCGTTGGCGTGTCTCCTTCGGCTTTATCAAAACCCCTGTCTCTCTCTCTCTCGCGAGCATTCTCTCTGTTTCCTCAGAGAAGCACACACACAAAAAAAAAAAAAGAAACTTTAAAAAGCAGTTCAAAGTGATTGGCTTCGAATGTAGTCCAACGTTTCTATGCTCTCCCCATGCTCTTTTCTGTTCGCCCGTAAGTTTGGTTTCACATTCCCTTACCCTCTTTTTTCCATTATCTCTTTCTCAAAAACATTTTCCTTATCCAAACATATTTTAAAGAATTCTGTGATGTTAATTATATTATACGTTTTACAATTGGAATTGAAAATCAAATTGATGTTATGCGATGATGTGCGTTTACAATTATACATAATTGCATATCCACTACATTACTACTTTTTCGTGTCACAACTGACTTAGCAATGATTCCTTGCGATAGTTATGGTTCATTTGGGTGGTCCTCCCTTGGTTCAAAACAGCAACAAGTAATCAAATTTGATTAGGGTTGCTTTTTAGTTCAGAATATTTCAGGATATTGTTTGAGAAACCCCTAGCCTCTGTATAAGAACTTAGTCGTATTGATTCACAGCCGATATGTTTATTGCTTGCTAACTGATTTGAGAAATAAAAGTTTCTTGGTGTTTTTTGACAAAATCATGCACTCGTACCGCTTTTCAACATTCCCGTTACATGGGCTTCCCTGCTTTGGCCCGATGCCAATCGGAGCGTTGTTGTGGAGGTCTAGACAAGAGAAATGGTCAAAAGTGGGTAAGAGCCACCTCAAAGAGTAAATCCATTTGACAAAGCGTTTAATCACAAGATAGACCAGTGACTTAAACCCAAACTCAGTTTGGCACTCGACTCCTAAGCAATTTGTTACCGACAAAGTTGCTCACTCGATTCCATTCACCAAGTGGCTCTTACCCCTTTGAACCATATCTTGTCTAACCGCTCCACAACCAAACAGCTCCCGATTGCAATCGGCCAAAGCAGGAATGCCATGTAACGGTGTAATGTGAACAAAGCGGGTACGACGTGCATGATTTTTCAAAAAACACCCAAGAAACTTTTATTTCTCAAATCAGTTACAATGCATAAACATATCGGCTGTGAATCAATACCGACTAAGTTCCGTATACAGAGGCTAGGGTTTCTCAAACAATATCCCTGAATTTTCTGAGCTAAAAAAGAGCAACCCTAATCATAATTTGATTACTTGTTGCTGTTTTGAACCAAGGAGACCACCAAATGAACATAACTATGCATAGAGATCATGCTAAGTCAGGTTGTGACACGAAAAAGTAGTAATGTAGTGTGATCATGCAATTATGTACTAATTGTAAACGCACTCAATCGCATAACATCAATGATTTTCAATTCCAATTGTAAAACGTATAATATAATTAACATCACAGAATTCTTTAAAATATGTATTGGATAAGGAAATTTTGAGAAAGAGATTGGAAAAAGAGGTAAGGGAATGTGAAACCAAACTTACGGCGAACGAGAAAGAGCCATGGGAGAGCAATACCGGTTGACTACATTCGAAGCCATCACTTTGAACTGCTTTTTAACAGTTCTTTTTTTTTTTGTGTGTGTGCTTCTGCTGAGGAAACAGAGAGAATGCTCGCGAGAGAGAGAGAGACAGGGTTTTGGATAAAGCGAGGAGACAACGCCACGGTTGCTGTTTGAATTGAAGGTGGAAAAAATTACAGAGCAGAAGATAGAAGCAACCATATCATTAGCCCTCGTTTGGGACCAACCCATTTAGCAAAAAAAAAGTAAAAAAGTTATTAAAAAAAAAAAGTTAAAAAAAGTCAATAATTCATATTGAAAAGTTAAAGATTTTTTTTTTTTTTCTATTTTTTGTACATTTTTTCGTAAAAGGGTAAAAAATTATTTCAAACATACTAGTTTTTTTAGCTCATATTTTAGCCAAATAACTAAAAAATTACTAAATTAACCTGTTTCAAAGCGAGGAGACAACGCCACGGTTGCTGTTTGAATTGAAGGTGGAAAAAATTACAGAGCAGAAGATAGAAGCAACCATATCATTAGCCCTCGTTTGGGACCAACCCATTTAGCAAAAAAAAAAGAGTAAAAAAGTTATTAAAAAAAAAAAAAAGTTAAAAAAGTCAATAATTCATATTGAAAAGTTAAAGATTTTTTTTTTTCTCTATTTTTTGTACATTTTTTCGTAAAAGGGTAAAAAATTATTTCAAACATACTAGTTTTTTTAGCTCATATTTTAGTCAAATAACTAAAAAATTACTAAATCAATCTGTTTCCAAACGACACCTAGACATATGTTAAATTAGTAGTACTTAATTAATTTTTAAATTAGTAGTACCTAATTAATTTTTAATTCGGATTATTTAAGTTATTTTTTTAGGGGTATTGTGATATGCATATTTTTTATGATATATTATATATTTTTATGATAAATGTTATATATTTTTTCTAATAAAATTATAGTAATTTATGAATAAAAAATAAAGTTGTGCATTATGTGGTAACATTACACATTTTTTATTAAAAAATGTTTTAGATAAAAAATATATATAACACCATAAATTATTATAATTCTATCATTTTTAGATAAAAAATATATATAACACCATAAATTATTATAATTCTATCATTTTTAGATAAAAAATATATATAACACCATAAATTATTATAATTCTATCATTTTTAGATAAAAAATATATATAACACCATAAATTATTATAATTCTATCATTTTTAGATAAAAAATATATATAACACCATAAATTATTATAATTCTATCATTTTTAGATAAAAAATATATATAACACCATAAATTATTATAATTCTATCATTTTTAGATAAAAAATATATATAACACCATAAATTATTATAATTCTATCATTTTTAGATAAAAAATATATATAACACCATAAATTATTATAATTCTATCATTTTTAGATAAAAAATATATATAACACCATACCCCCACTGCTTAAACCAAGTGGGATGGTTTTTACTTTGGCCGAACTGCTATATGACCGAAATAAGCTTGGCTATGCAGAGCCAATGAGTAAACCGAACTATTCCTAGTTCGGTTCCACCCTTAACTCTATCCTTATCTCGGTTTTCTCATGTACAACCAATGGTACGGTCTTAGACCGAACCAATGACTTTCGGCCGATATGACTCCAAGACCGGCATAACTCTAAATCGTTCCTGGACCGAAGTATCTTTATAATTCCTGAACCGAAGTAATTTTACCTCCCTGGCCGGAGTAACTTTGTTTCTCCTAGGCCGGAGTAACCTTGCCTCTCCTGGGCCGGAGTAACCTTGCCTCTCTTGGGCCGGAGTAACCATTACGGCCTTTTTACTTAGTCCTTCACACTTTGGGCCACAAAGCCCAATCTCGCAGCTCGGCCCAATTTTTCCCAAAAATTACCCTCTCAATTGCCCCTTAATTCCATCTGCGCAACATGATTGGGATTACCAGTCTACTGGCCGAGCTAGAGTTTATTAAGCCTTTCCAGCCGAGCTAAAAACCCTTTAGCCTCTCCAGCCGAGCCAAAAACTCTTAGGCCCTTAAGCCGTGCTAATTTTACTGCGGGCTTTACTTTGTCTGGTTAAAACGTCTCTTCAATCACGACTGTAACGCTTCCCTTGCCGTATACACGTGGCACGCTCCCATTCGTAGAAGGCAGCTGTCAACGCCGTCTTCGTGTTTCGCAATTTTTGAACAGTTCCCGCCCTCTCTTTCTTTCCACAAAACAATCATCCTGCCTTTGAACCATTCACTTTCACTATTCTTCATCTTCTCTCTCTGTGCTCTTGCTGTTCGTGTTCTTCCTTTACTGCAACAGTTTTCACCTTCAGTCCCTTCTTTTTTGATCTGGTAAGCAAATGTACTTTCCCTTCATGTTTTTTGCTTTCATATTTGTTTTATGCATTTGGTTTACTATATTTTTGCAAAACATGTTCTTCCATTTCTGCTTTGCTTCTGTACTTTCATGAAAAAAACCAATAGAACTCATGTGTGTATGAACTATTCTGTAGAAAAACTAGCCGTAGATCCAAGATTACATAGCAACCGAACTAGGATATTGTTTGTCCAATATAGGTAGGTTACTTTCGACAATAACCGAACTAGAACTTCAAAAGATATCCAACCTTCGTTTTTACCTTAGCCGAAATAAGACCACCGAACGAAGTTTGAACAAATTAGGCTAGGAACCACGATTTTCAACCGAGCTGAGCCTTGGGGCTAAGCCAGCTTTCTTAGTTTTTAAACCAAACACAGAAAGCTGCCCATAGTGGCTTAACCGAAGTAAACAACCCACTGTTCAAACCGAGATAAATAAAACCGATCTTGCGTACCCAAAGTTTAAACCGAACTACCAAATGTTACGCCAAACCGAGGTAGGGCTCTTGTAAATTGCTTTTAATTTGTAGCACGGTCCAATGATCAGTGCTTAACCCCTTTGTTTTCTACTTTGCAGACTTAGGTTACCCCAGGCACTCTTGTGTGCGCTCAACCGAGCTACTGAGCACGATTTTTGCACCGATATAATTTATTGGTAAATTATACACCAGATGGGTAAGTATAGATATCTAGTAGAGACCCCTGGTGGCATGGCCGAATTCAGGAAGGACTATAACATACCTGATGATGTCCACTTGACTTTAGCCCAAAAAGATGTCATCCCATGGGATAATGAAGGCTTTGTCCCCTTCACCCTTCTATCCATTATAGAAACCGGACTACGGTTTCCAGTCCAACCATTGATCTGTGAATTTCTTAGGCAGACTAGATTATGCCCTACCCAACTGTCCACCAATTCATACCGCATCATTATGGGAATAGCCGCACTGAACCACCAAACCGAACTAAACCTCAACCTGGCCGAAATCTTCCATCAATACTCCATCGGCTCAAAAGAGGATGGGTGGGTCTATTACCTTGGGATTCGCCGCCGTCGAGAGAAGATAGTTAAGTATACACCGGACAAAGACCTTAATGACGACGATTTTTTCTGGGTCTCTGGGAATTTTGAGGATTTTCAAGCCCAAATTCCTGGCCGACCTATAAATTGGAAAAAGGGAGAGCCTGGTAATTTGACTTCGGTCTTCTTCCTTGTATTTTTATTTCGGTTTTTTAGTCTACCAACCGAACTAACAGTTCTTCTTTCGCAGATTTCGCCCACCTCCATTCCTTATATAACTATCCCAATCTTGCTATTTTGCGAGCCGCACTACGGTTTAAAGAAAGGAGTTGGGCTAAGCTTCTAAACTTTGAGCCGACCTACCGGTACAGCGGTCGCCGAAAAGCAAGAGTAACTGACTTTCTTCTTGAAGACGCCCCAGAACCGGACCCAAACTTGCCGCAAATAAGATTAATTCCTTTAACTGCTGAAGAGGAAATGGCCAAGAAGAACAGACTAAGGGCGCTTCTGACCGAGACAAGCAGGCCCGAAGTACCGTCGCCCAGCCAAACACAGCCTGCTGTTGTGGCCCTCCCCTCTCAACAGCCGTCTTCATCACGCCGAACCAAGCGCGCACGAACCACCGATTCTGAGCCAAGTTTGGTTGATGAAGATGAGACTGCTATTCCACCAATCCAACCACCGAGCCCCCAATCGGAGCCCACCGACCGAACTGCAACCAGCTGGGTACCAAAAATTACTTTCAAGAACCGAGATGTCATAGATGCTGATTCGGTTGTCGCCGAAAAGGATCACGAGTTGGCCTTTAATCTGGCCAAGAGTGTGTGCCTTCCCAAGGATATGGAGCACCACAAAAAGCAGCTAAACACCGAATTAAAGTCCATTCGGTCTGCAACAAAGTCCATGATCTTGGTATGCAGCTCTTGTCCATTTTTCTGTCTAGTTTTTTTAAACTTTTATTTCGGCTCATGGGAAGTCCTTGTTTTTGCCAGGCAATTCAAAAAAACTACAATACTCACAAGAAGGTGCTGGAACTCAGAAAAACTACAAGGGATGCTGTAGCAGAAGTCGAAATGAAATCGGCCGAGGTAGAAGACATCAAGAAGCAAATGGCTGAGCTTCAAGCTGAGAACAGCAGGCTGACCAGACTAGTTAGTTCGGCCGAGGCAGAAAGGCAGAAGACTGCCATAGCTCTGAAGGACAAATACCTACGCGAGCTGGTGAAGCTTGAAAGAAAGAAAGATGCCGAAATAAAAGAGAGCGCAAAGGAAGCCAGCAAACAAGGCTTCAAGAAGGCAGAAGATGCTTATGCCAAGCAATGTAATGCTGCCAAGGAGCTGTTCTTTAAGTGTGGCTGGAGGGCGGCTATTGAGAAGCTTGGTCATGATCAACAGACCGAGGTTTTCAACCCTCCAGCCCATTTCATACCGAAGTCCCTTGCGGAGTACGCGAATGCCATGCAGCAGCAGTTCCTTGAAGGCTCAGACTCGGATGATGACTCTTCTTCTGAGGATACTCCGGTTGTTAGTGTGGACCAGCCAGTTCGGTCGGAGCCCACTGTGGAGGACCTAACTGTTGATCTTCCTAGTGAGACCGTGGTTCTAGCCGAAGTGACTCTCCCAACCGTGAGTGATCTCCCTTCTGAAGCCGGTCTTCATGCTGATACTGATGCAGCTTTTGATGCCGACATTGAAGAACTTTTCTCTTGATTATGTATTTTTTCTTTGTTGCTTTTTGCCTTTGTAACCGAACTATGAACCTTCTTTGTAATAGTTGCAATGAATG